ATATATATATATATATATATATATATATATATATATATATATATATATATATATATATATATATATATATATAATTTAACATATATATATATATATATATATATATATATATATATATATATATTTAACATATATATATATATATTTAACATATATATATATATATATATATATATATATATATATATATATATATATATATATATATATATATATATAATATATATACATACATATATATATATATATATATATATTTAACATATATATATATATATATATATATATATATATATATATATATATATATATATATATATATATATATATATATATATATGTATATATATATATATATATATATATATATATATATATATATATATATATATATATATATTGATATTTAAGGTTGTTTTGTATTATAATTAATAAAAAGTCATGGTCAAAAAAGAGTGCTTAATATTAAATTTAAATAACAATTTAACAAATTTAAATGAGCATATATCTCAGTTTCAATCGGTCACAATAGCTTCAATTGTCAGTGAGATTCGTTGCTGCCAGCCGTCAACAATAGTCCATTTGTTGTACCTAAGCTGTGCCGAAGCTTATATATGGTCTTGAGCTATGCGAATATGTTATTAGTTTTCTTAACAAAATAGACGCTGTTGGAAGAGCAGTCTTAAAATCATTTTTCTGTATCTCGAAGTACAGTAAAAATTACTATTCTGCTTAGGAGCAGTAAATCTTTTTATCAGGCAATTGAAAAATAAAACTTGCAATTTACTGATAATAAATAAATTACAGGCAATACAGAATAAGTTCTTTACAAATGAAGTGTTTAAAGCCTGTTACACACTTGGTTTAAACTTTGTCCATTGCTTATTAAATGGCAATAAAATTAAATACACAAAACCGATCGAAGATCTGTAGGCTGATGTTGTATCAGTATTGAAAAAAACATTTCCAGTGTTGGAATTTAAAAGAAAAGAGCAAGTTATTTAAAATATTTATGGAGGAGAATGTTCCAAGAAGTCTGATCCAATAATTTGTGGAAAAAACACCGCCTGGTTATTAGCATTTAATGCTAACAATTGTGAGAGTCGTGTCGTTTAAGTTGATTTTCATTTATTTGGTGACTATTTTATTATTTATTTTACCTGTAATTTATTACTGGGTATTAAAGAGAAAATATTATAATAATAAAGATTTTTGTTAAAATGGCTGGTAGCGATAGAGTTAACCTTATGAAAGTTTAATTAACAGCATTTATTTGCTAAACTTTTCATCGAGAATGTAATTAATGAAGTTTTTTCTGTAAAACATAAATTGCTTATTTTATTTTATTTTTAAAATTGAACAGTTATTGGTCAAAGTTGAAAAAAAGTGTAGCATTATTAATTAAGTTTTAAAATTGAAATTATTTAATGAAAAAGTTTTTATTGTCAATTTGGTAATTTTTTGATTTGTAATTTTAAGAGACATGTTATAATTTTAAGAGACAGTTATTTAAACTACTTGCCAAATGCAACATAAATTGGGAAGTGTTAAATACAATATGTTTTTTAACGCGCCCTGCGACACATTGACAATTTTAATCACCATCTGTCTTGAATATTTGCCATAAAAAATTAATTACTTTAGTTAATTAAAAGCTGTCTGTAAATTTAAGTGTATAATCCATAACTATTTTTTAACTAAAAATTAAAGAATTCAACAAATATCTCTAATAAAATGTTTACAAAAATTCTTTATTAATTAAAAATAAGAATTAGTAAAATGTCATTTCTATAGGAGAACAAAAACTTCATAGCAATAAGCAGCTTAGAAAAAAAGTTTTGATTGTTTACATAAAAAGAAAAAAGTTCAGAATATATAATAAGGTGATCAACAACTTTTTTCAATTTTTATTATATTTATTATATTTTAACATAAAAATCTTAAATTTATTTGGTTCTCGCGCTCACTATAAAAAAACATTCTTTTGTTTAGCTTCTTCTAAAATTTAAAGGAAAGTCATAAGATTGATAATAAACGCTTATTTTAAAAAACAAATTAAAAAAAACAAATAATATTGAAAAATTATACAATGATGTCATTTACTAAACCTCTTTGGATTTAAATGCGCTTGAATAAATTATAAAGTCTGTAGATAGTGGCATATATTTCAGAGAATAGCTACTGTGGAGACAACCAGCTTTGAGTAAAACAACAAAGTTTGTTTTTGTTGGCATACATTTATTATTTTGTTTTCCTTAAAAAAATTCTGCACAATCATTTTGGGATCCCTTTAATTTTGTTCTATCTAATGAAAAAATGATACTTTGTATAGGTTTACAGGGTTGTTCAAACTTACATTTTTCATATTTTCTCATTTATATCTTCTATTTTACTAATTAAGTGAAGTGTTAATTTTTTATTATTTGTTAATCTTTTGAGTCACATTGTTATTTTTTTCAGAAAGTTAAAAAGTTAAAAATTAAATTCGTTATTGGCATTTAGAAAACCCAGTGTAATACTTCATTATCCAGTTAAGTTATTGCATCAGTATTGCACTACTGCTGAAAATATTGCATCATCTTGAAATTACAAATGAAATTATTGTCTTAAAACACATTTTTAAAATACATTATTAGACAGATGCTTTTAAAGATGGTTTATGGAGACTAGAACTCTCTATCATTCAACTTTGTCTTCATAATCAACTTTGTCTTCATAATCAACAAATTTTCTTTAGTTTTTTAATCCTTAAAAATAACAACAATGTAAGAGAAGGTGTGAGTCTTGTGAAAGATCAGGTTTCAGATTTTCGGCAAAGAAGTAGAAACACAACAAAACAATGTTATCATGTTATAACACATGTTTAAAAACTTGTTGAGAAATACAAAAAGCTGAAAAATAAGGCAGCAAAACAGAAACTCAGCAAAGAAATAAAGAAGAAATTTTAGACTTTAAAACTAAAGAGTGAATAAACAGAAACAAAGTGGTTACTCCAAAATTTGTTCAGCCTTTGATCATTTAAAAAATCCTATTCATTCTGGTTCCTTGATTTTGTCTACAATTTGTCAAAGGGTTATTTGCCTATATTGATTATTTCTCTACATTAATCTCTTTGATGTGCATGTATATTGATTATTTCTCTACATTAATCTCTTTGATGTGCATGTATATTGATTATTTCTCTACATTAATCTCTTTGATGTGCATGTATATTGATTATTTCCCTACATTAATCTCTTTGATGTGCATGTATTGAAAATCATAAAAAAGTTGCCAAAATAATTATTTCAGAAATCAAACCACAGGTTCTATTGCATTGGGGTGGAAAAATATTACCTGATTTGAACAGCAGAGATAAAGTGGATTGACTACCTATATTAGTGACAAGATATGATGTTGAAAAACTGTTGTCAGTCCCAAAACTGGGATAGAGGCACTGGTGCCTCTATCCCAGTTTTGGGACTGACAACAGCTCCAATATGTTGTTGGAACTGTTGTCAGTTCCAACAACATATTGGAACTGACAACAGTTCAAATATGTGAATTGTTGTCAGTTCCAATATGGCAACAGCTCACATATTTGTAAACTGTAGTCATATTGGAACTGACAACAGTTCAGTTGTCAGTTCCAATATGTTGTTGGAACTGACAACAGTTCCAACAACATATTGGAACTGTTAACTGTTCCAATAACAGTTAACAGTTCCAATACTCTATGTACATGCTTTTTGAAGCTCAAAAAGCATGTACATAGAGTGAAGAAAATCCACTGTTAATAAACAAGTGAGCCATGTAAAAATGACACTTTCAATCTAGTTCCTTTAAACATTACCCATTCTTTTATCCTTTTTAACACATTTGTTACACTTTTAATTGCGTTTTTAATGTACTTTTTATTATAAGGTCTCTATTAGATCAACTTAATTTTACTAATTCAATTTAAGCAAATATGGTCAACATTCCTATATTAATGAATGGCAATCCTCTTACTGAGTCCTCCTCTTTACGTCTTCTTGGATTATCGCTTACTACTGACCTTTCATGGAAACCATATATACAATCGATTGCTAAATTAGCTTCTGCTAAGGTTGCTTCTCTTTATCGTGCTCGCTATTTCCTTACTTCTGATTACATTCTCTACCTCTACAAATCTCTTATTCGTCCCTGTATGGAATACTGTTGTCTTATTTGGGCTGCTTCTTCTAACGATTCACTTTCTCTTCTTGACAAGGTCCAAAAATGCATTGTAAATGTTGTTGAACCTGGACTATCTGCTAAGCTTGAACCTCTTTCCCATCGTCGTAAAGTTGCATCTCTTTCTCTTTTCTACAGATACTATCATGGTCACTGCTCAAAGGAGTTATCATCTCTAGTTCCATCAACTAAAATTCATTCTCGTTTTACTCGTCATTCAGCTAAGTCTCATTCGTTTACTGTATCTGTCCCTGCATGCTCTAAAAACTTTTATTCATCTAGTTTTTTTCCCCGCACTTCAATCCTTTGGAACTCTCTCCCATCTTCATGTTTTCCTGACTCATACAACCTTCAACTTTTCAAGTCTTCTGTCAACCGTTATCTTGCTCTATAACTCTGTTTTTTTTTTCCTAGTAACTCCCAACTTAATAGTGGTCGCTTGCAGCCTTGTTGGGAGTGAATGCAAATAAAAAAAAATATATATATATATTTTACCTGAAGATGGCTATGATATAGTCTAAACATGTACTTTATAAATTAAATGGGTTTAACAAAAATTAAAAAAATTGTCTTATTTATTAGAATATTTTTTGTGCTGAATAGAAATATTAGAAATATAAAAAAATAAAATAGAAGCATTTTAAAAAATGAAGTCAGTATCAGGTTGGCAGAAAAAAAGTGAAATAAAGACCATAAAACATAGAACTAAGGCTGGGGATTTTTTATTTTTTATTTATATATTTTGAATTTATTTGTTATTATCTAAGTTTATTTTTAGCGCACTAAATAAACTTTTTTGAACTTAGTATGGCCGTGAATCAAACAACAGAAGATGGCAGTGAAATGGATACAAAGGAATCCAATTGTGAAAACCATGAGGATACATTAAATAATCAAAAAGAAACTGTGAATCAATCAAATGAGGAAAATAATTGGTATGTTGTATGGCTAAAGTAAATTTCAATGCGAATATATTTTCCTTTAATCTTAAATATATAGGCCTAAATTTAAAAAAAAAATTTTAAGTCATATAGAAAAACTGGCATGATTAAAACTAATAAAACAGCTTTCATTTAAATGAATGTATTTATAAATGTGCAAGTTTTTATCCCTTTCATAGTGCGCAATTATTTGTGTCTAAATGGGGAGTAATTTTTAAAGACAAATGAGCACTATGAAAGAGATAAAAGCTCACATATTTATAAACACATTCATTCAAATAAAAGCTGCTTTAATAGTTTTAATCATGATAGTTTTTGGATCTGTCCTCCAACAAAATTATATTAGAGCTCAAAGAAAGCATGTACATAGATAGGGGCTGTTCTTGTTTTTGAAAATGTCCATCGTATTTGGGTGCCGTCCAAATTAAAAATTGAGGACCCTTTTTTTTTTACATTTTTTACAGCAGATATTGTTATTTTCGCAAAAAAACACTGATGTTAGGCAATATTTCTGCAAAATATTTTTGGAACAGGGGGGTACCCCTGCCCAAATTTTTTTCATAAAACAGCTCTTGATAGAGTGGGAAAAACCCACTGTTAATAAACAAGTAAACCATGCAAAAATTCTCATTAAATCTAGTTTCTTTAAACATAACCAGTTATTTTATTATTTTTAAAACATTTGTGACATTTTTAATTGTGTTTTTATTATATTTTTATTACAAGGTCTCTATTAGTTCAACTTAATTTAACTAATTTATATATATATATATATATATATATATATATATATATATATATATTTTTTTTTTTAGTCATTTTTACGTTGTGGTACATAAAAAAGGATGCTGAAATAATGCAGCGCCCGGCCCTGAAAAGTCCAACAAGATTCAACCTAAAACTAACGCTAGATGATTTATTAATTTTTTTTTATACATCTTCACTTTCAACAAGGCTACAACCAACCACTAATTTGTGTTAGAAGTTACTGGAAGAGAAAAGATGAAGATTGTAGAGCAAGATAACGATTAACAGACGACTTAAAAGATTTCAAATTATATGAATCAGGAAAGCAAGATGAAGTAAGCGAATTCCAAAGAACTGATGTTCGAGGAAAAAAACTAGACGAATAAGAGTTTTTAGAACACTTAGGAACAGTTACAGAAAAAGGATGAGACTTAATTGAATGACGAGTAACACGAGAATGAATTTTTGTAGATGGCACAAGAGACGCTAGCTCTTTAGAGCAGTGCCCATAGTTTTTGTAGAAAAGAGAAAGAGAAGAAACATTACAACGATGTGGTTGAAGATTGAAGGTTGGCTGCAAGAGCAGGTCCAACTATGTTTACAATGCATTTTTGCACCTTATCTAAAAGAGAAAGAGCATCATTAGAAGATCCGCCCCAGATATGTATTCCATACAAATCCAGAAAAAAGAAAGTATTGAGCTCGATAAAGAGATGCAACTTTAGCAGATGCTAATTTTGCAACGGATTTGATATAAGGTTTCCAAGAAAGATCAGAAGTAAGAGTTAATCCTAAAAAATGAAGGGTAGATGACTCATCGAAAACATTACCGTTTATAAATATAGGAAGGTCTAAATTATTGCAATAATGATTGGCTGAAAAAAATTAAGTTCTATCTGAATTGAAGTTCACCAGCCACTGTGAGCCCCATGCTGTAGCATAAGTGAGGTCCTTTTCAAGCTCAAATGCCCCCTGCAAGCAATCAGAGGGAGTTGGCTTCTTATCGTGACAAGAATAAATGGTAGTATCATCAGCAAACAATGCCACCTTAGATGTGAGAATATCTGGAAGATCGTTAATGTAAATTAAAAAGAGTATAGGGCCAAGGATTGAACCTTGAGGAACCCCTGAGGTTACAGAATAAGAAGTAGAGTGCTGTCCATCAAGGACAACATTTATACTACGATTGGAAAGGAAGAATTCAATAATCTTAAAGATGTTTCCAGATACACCGTAAGAAGAAAGCTTATGGAGAAGACCAGTATGCCAAACTTTATCAAACGCTTTAGAAATGACAAGAGCGATGGCCTTAACCTCGCCACCTTTATCTAATGCGTGATAAAAACTATCGATTATTATTGTTAGCAAATCAGCCATAAAGCGAGAAGATTGAAATCCATATTGATGATCAGAAAGATTGAGAGATTAAGTGTTTGTTAATTAAAGATTCAAAAACCTTGCTTATGATAAGGAGAAGACTAATGGGACGGTAGTTAGACGAATCAGATTGCTCTCCAGAATTTTTGAAAATAGGGGTAACAGATGACTCTTTTAAGTACTTGTTGAATAGTTTTGAAAGGATAAACGACAACTCCGGAGAACAGTTCTGCAAGATTATAATAGATATGTTGTCCAGGCCACAAGCTGTAGAAGAGTCTATGCAGGAAATCACTTTAGATACAGAAGCTGGAGTAATACGATTGTCAAGCAATGGATCAATCTGACGGTTATATCAGGTAGAACGCAAATAGTGGAATCAAGAGATGATATTGATGAAAAGTTCTAGCAAATAATTTAGCTTTGTCTTTAGATGACGTGACAAAGTCTGAACCATACAAAAGAGGTGGAATTACAGACTTACCCTTATTGATACTATTTAAGAAGTCACGAGAGCCTAATTTTTGAGATGAAATACAAGGTTTCATGATCTGAGAATAGTGGGCTTTGGCGTTAAAAAAAACTTTTTTACAATGTTTCTTAGCAGTAATAAACAGACGTCTGTTTTCTGGAGAACTGTTTTGCTGATACATATGGAAGTAATGATTTCGATTGACAGTTGCAGCAGCACAATGTGAGGAAAACCACGGAGAAGAGTGAGGCTTGACCTGGAATCGTCGAGAGGGAATAAAGGATTCCATGCCAGAATCCACGAAGTTATGTAAGAAGCACATTTGTCAACAGGAAGACAAAAGATTTTTACCCAAGGGCCATCATAAAGAAAATCATAGAAAAAGTCCCAGTCAGCTTTAAGGTAGTTGTAGGAGGTACAATGATAGGGGGATTTTGATGATAAAAAAGAATGAGATAATAGTTTTGAAAGAATGAAATAATAGTAGAGGGATCAAACTGTGATCAGTGGCACCTAAGGGTGAATATAGAGAAACTGAGCACTGACTAGGATCAGAAACAAAACACAAGTCGAGTAGAGAAGGTGAATGATTCAGGTTTTCTGGAAAGCGAGTTAAAAAGTTGGCTATTTGAGTTAGGGATTGAGAAAGGCAAAAGTTGTGGGCTTTAATGCCTGCAGAGTCACTGACACTAGAGCCAAGCCATTCAGTGTGATGAACAACAAAGTCATAAAACCCTAACCCTAGTCATAAACCCCAAGTCATAACAGGCTCCGATGTAGCATTGGCAATGCACACCAAAAGTACAAACAGGGACACCATCCTTGCGCAACATGGCACTGTTAGTACTTTGATATTTTAGAGCTGTTGATGGAATCAGCGTCTCTGAGAGCTACCACAGAGTTTGGGAAACCTGACAAACCGCCGGCCTCAGAACTATAAAACTGAGTTTTAGAGCTGTACTCTCATTAGAAGATAATAGAATGAGTTGTCATAAAAACAAAGATACATGCAAAACCCATGCATCAAGTCAAGAAGAACCAGCATTCAACATCCTTAACTCGAAACAAAGTATTAAAAATACATCTGCGCCAGCCTAATAGATGAAGAAGGGGTGCGAGACTGGTCAACAGATAGAATCTGTTTAACCCTTTAGTCTTTGCCTAGGAGGCCTTCTACAAGACAGCAGCCAGGTGCATTTAACATCTGCCCAAGATGAGTATTTTTATCAAGACACCATCTCTAGCCTTTACTCAACCAAGAGCCCCAAGGCAGGGGGTGTTTCATGTATTTATAAATAAAAAAGTTTTTTTAATAACTGTTTTATGCTTCGCGTAGTTTGAAAAGTTAAACACGTTTGAAACAATTCTCCTCAGTAAGATGAACAAATGAAATAGATAAATCATTGAGTTTCTGTAGAAATTCAATTAGCTAAATAGAAATGAACTAAAAACGTTAAATTACTTTGTGAGAAGAAAGCGGAACTGCTTCATGATGATGTTTAGTGAGTGGGCTATATAATTTTAATTAGTATTTAAAACAGAAAAAAGTAACTTTAAGTTTAAGTATAACGAGTTTGTAAGAATGGCTGAAGCAAAAATAATTAAAGTTAGTAAACCAATTTCTAAGAACTTAAAAACTTTTCTTTCTTCGGGGAAAGAATCAGTTATCGTGTGTACTGTTCAAAATAGATTAGTGGTTAAAATTATTTGTATTAACTTTGATGGTTATTAATAATATCATTGAAAACACAGTTATTATTGAAAGTATTTTTGTTTACAAAATCAATTGTACAAATTGCTTTAAAAGATTACATTTGAATAAAATACACATACATAAAATTACATGTGTAAAAAATACATACATAAAAATACATTACATACATAAAAATACATAACTTACATAAAAAATACATCCCTTATATATAAAAAATAAGAATATACTAATAAAATCCATAATATATTTACAAGACGTTAACAAGTTAAAAAATATAAATTTAAAACATTTCTTTTTGTAAACAAATAATGTTAGTTAAAAACATTTATAGCTTTGTAGATGTGGCTCCTAGAATTAAAAAAATAGTTTGTTTGATGGTATATTCTTAAAAGAATTTATGCTAGAAATCTCAACGAAAACATAACAAAACTCAATGCAATTTTTAAAAATATTTCAACAAAATACTCTAGAACATTCGGTTAGTATTCTTTAAATACTCTTGAAATTTTGGTAAATATTTTTTGAACCAATAGAATTAGTTAATCATAGATTTGATGGGTTTTTTGTGTTCACGAATATTCTTTTTTTATTTTTCCGCGCAAAGATGTTTGAGAACATTTGAGTTTATGTATGTTTCCATGTATGTCCGTAAAACAAATTATTTTAAAATTTACGATATAATAATGAACTTAATTATTATTTTGTGAACAAACAAGGAAACAATAGGTTAACTTAAATAAATAGATAAAATAGATTAAACAATAGATAAACTGAAAAATCTGGCCTGTTTTTCGCAACTAAATATTATTTCCGTGGTCAGTTATCGAATGCGATCGCACCTGTTTCCCGACCAGGCCTATATATCATAGATGAGTTTTTTCCAGGAATTCCCGGAATTCCAGAAATTCACATCAAGTTTCCGGGAAATTCCGGATGCTTTTTGCTATTGATTTGTAAAAAGTTATATAAAATTTTAAATACGACATGGTTTGCATTTAAGCAATTATGTTTTCTATAAATGAAATTTTCACGAGATCAATTTTTTCAAAAATTTTTTTTCTTTTTAATTCATTCAAATTAACTTTTTCGAATATTAGAAATTCTTTTTCTTAAGAAGTTAATTGATGAAAATTCCGTATTAAACGTTTGCAAAAGATCTTGTCGTTAAAAATTACTATCAAGAAGAAAGAAAAGAAAATGCAAGTTAAGAGTTTATCTGACATTTCTGAGATAGACAAAAATATTAAAAACAAGTTTCGCTGGAATTGGCTTCAAGAGAAAGACTATAATGATGAGCATTATTCAGCCTATATTACAAAGATAAATAAAGCCGGAGCGGTAAGTTTATTCTCTAACTAAACACTGAAATATATAACTTCATCATAGTTATATATTATTTGATTTGATGTTTTAGGTACGATGTACAATATGTAATAAAGACTTTTATTATGGAAGTGAAGGTAAAAAATCTTTACTCAGCCACTCAAAGTCTAAAATGCATCGTCAAAACTGCGCAATGATTAAGTCCAACGAAGCCATACCGTCGTCATTTTTTTACTAATTTAAAAAAAACAGATATGTGTATATTGCCATATGGCACTCCGGATAACGTGCATATTCGCAGTACTTGCACAAAGAGAGTAAAGCCTACCATTAAACCTATTGTAAGTTTTAGAGACAGGACATCAAATGCAGAAGCTATGACACTCGCATTTATTTGTGAACACAATCTTCCAATATCTTTAACATCCCATATGATTGAATACGCAAAGGAAATGTCTAAAGATCATCGTGTTTTAAAAAATTTGAAAATGTTCAGAACAACTGCTTCGTATAAGCTTCGAGAAGGATTAGGTGAAGCTTTTCATGCTGAGCTTGTTTTTGATATGAAAATAAAAATGTTCTCCCTTAACATAGATGAGTGCTTCTCGGCAAAAAATGAGAAGGTTCTTAGTATACTCGTAGCATATTTTTGCGACAAAACTAATAAAGTTGTATTAAAGCACTACGCGTCATTATCGCTTGTTACGGTAAATGCCGAAAGTCTTTTTAATGCTGTTATTCATTTATTTAACAAAGACGCAATTCCATTAAGTAATCTTGTTTCCAATTTATCAGATTCTACCAATTATATGAGAGGAAAAATCAGTGGGTTTGAAACAAGGTTAAGAAAAGTGGTTCCTCACTTACTTGATATTGATGGTGATATTTGTCATCATGTGCATAATGTTGTCAAAAAATTTACTTCTTTTTTCAGCAAGGTAGTTGAAAACTTACTGGATGATATCTACATTGATTTTAAATATAGCCCAGATCTTTGTACATTTCTGAAAAAAATCTGTCAAATCACAGGTGTCACATACAACACTCCAAAGCAAAGGGTTTGTCATCGATGGTTGTCTGTTTTAGATTGCACTCTTCCTATGCTTGAGATGATGCCTGCTTTCACCTTAATTTATTCTTCTTGGCTATCAAAACAAGACATCTCTCTGTATAAAGATGAAAGTGACAAAATTTTAAAGAGGCTATCAAATGAAAGTAAGAAACTAATAGAAAAAAAAAAATGTAAAATGCAGCAGAAAAAACTAACAAAACAAGGTGCAGAAAGAAAAGATAGAATTGTTAAAAGTTTATTTTTCCGACGTAATGAAACATTACTTTATATTAATTTGTACGTTGAAATTCTTCCTATTTTTAAATCATTCATTTTAACTTTTGAACAAAAAGAATCGTTAGTCCATCGAATTTACGATGAGCAAATTGAACTAGTGAAAACAATTTTAACTTGTTTTATTAAGCCAAAGATGATAAAAAATATAACAGGAGAAAAGTTGAAGTTTTTAAACCTGAAAGATAAAAAAATGTATCGCCATTTGAACTACATATACCTTAGAAGTAATGCTGAAAAATATTTGTCAAGAATACTTATTCGAAATCCTGATTTCAAATCATCGTTTTTAAAGACCTTGCTAAAAGCTTACCTTGAATCGTCAGTTTACTTACTTAATAAATTACCCTTTAACAACCCTTTATTAAAATGCCTCTCTGCGATCGACTCAATGTCTCAAGGTCACGAAATTACAGAGAGAATGCTAAAAAAACTCTCAACTTTCTTTCCCTCTGTAGATATAAATAAAGTAATATTTAATCGAGAAGTTATGCAGCTTCAGATAGATATAGCGCTTCCACCCGTATTTGATGATGGGAAGCCCGTACGTCTTGACTATTGGTGGGCTGAAGTTTTTAAGTGTAAAAAATATTTAGAGCTTAGTAAGATTATCAAGGCATGCTTAAGTATTTTTAGTAGTCCCCATGTTGAGCAATCATTCAGCATGATGAACACCATAGTTAACAAAAAGACAAACCGTCTTGATACTTTAACGTACTCTGCTATAGCTTCAGTTAAGTATCAATTATTAGCAAACGAGACCACAGCAGTAGGGTACTTTAAAAGGCGAGATATATTGCATGACCCAGTTAACAAAAACATCTGTGGTCATTTGCAAACTGCAAGCAAACGCTATAATAAAAAAATGAAGTTCCATCGGAAAAATAGAAAAGTTGAAGAAAGATTTTTAAATATAAATTCAACGTGGAAAAAAAAAATTGCCTTACATGAACAGTGCAAAAAAGTTAAAGAATCTATTATTGATCATGCAAAAAAGTGCAGAAAAAGAAAAGCTGACGAATGCTTCACAACAGAAAATTATAAGAAAAAAAAGTATTGATTCCTGACATTTATTCCATTGTCTTACATTTTATATTTTAAATATAAAGAAATTATTGCGCTTTGCAGGTTGCTTATGTTAAAACTGAGATATTATATTTCATTTTAGAGAAACATAATTAATGAGTAGTTTTTAGTTTTTTTATTTATCCCTTTACCAACGTTCCAGAATTTACCCACATACCTTCGTCAATTTATTGACCCTAAATTTTTCTGGGATTTTCCGGAATTTTCAAAGAATAAAATTTCCGGGGTTTTCATAAAGTCAAAAACCCATCTATGATATATATATATATATATACATATACATATATATATATATATATATATATATATATATATATATATATATATATATATATATATATATATATATATATATATATATATATATATATATATATATATATATATATATATATGTATATATATATATGTATATATATATATATATATATATAATATATATATATATATATATATATATATATATATATATATATGTATATATATATGTATATATATATATATATATATATATATATATATATATATATATATATATATATATATATATATATATATATATATATATATATATATATATATATATATATATATATATATATATATATATATATATATATATATATATATATACATACACACACACACACACACACACACTCCCCTAAAATGGTTTTTTGGAGCATTTTATGGCTCTTGAAAAAGTAAATGCATTACTTCAGCAATTTTTTTTTTCAAATAATTATGTAAATTATAGTTTTTTTATTTATTATAAAAAACATTTATAATAAAAAACAATTAGTTACTAAAATTTAAAACACATTTTAAAGACTTTAAAAGAAACCATGCTAAAATATGATGATTTCTTTCAATAGCTTTATTATTAAGTAAAATAACTAAGTATGCAATCAAAGAAAGTAATTATGTTTTAGCATGGTTTTTGCATGCACTACATGCGCACAAAAGCATGCAAAATTTCACTTAAAATGAATGCATTTGAATATACTTTGAAAGAAACCATGCTTAGATATTACGATTGCTATTTTTCTATGTTTTTTTTTTTTTTTTTAATTCTCTAATTTTTCTTAAAGTGAGGTAATGTTCATTTTCATGTTTAAAACACTTTTAAAATGTTTGAAAAGAATTTTTAAACATTTTTTAAATCAAGTTTTGCTGAAATCTATACAATCTAATAGAATATATACAATTAATATGTTTATTACAGTTTGTATCTTTTATTGTGCGTTTAACAACGCCAATAATATGATATTTTTATTAAATGCTTCATATGATATTTTTAAAAGTTTTAAAAAAGAAATGTCAAAACAACTTTTATTTTATTTTTAGCTCCTTTTATTTTAATTTCTTCAAGTTTATATATTTTTTTTGTAAATAAATTTATTAAACTAAATTTAGAAAAATTCTTTATTTAGTATCAATGGATAACAATTTACAATCGTTATGTCATTGCATGTTAATTATTATTAATTTGCAATCACTTAGCAAATGCTTAAAAAGTTGTTTTGAAGAAATAAAAATTGATTAAATTTAATAGGCATCATTGATATATCTAATAACTTATTAACTAGAATAAAAGATTTGTCGTGCCCTGGGCTTGTAACAAGTATAAAACCAAAATTTTTATTAATTTTAATAAATATTAAGCAATTTTTTAAATGAATAAACAGATAGCTTGTGCTAAAACCAATAGCTTTCCTAAAGAGCTGTTTAGAGGAGCAGGTCACCTGGTTTGTATATTGGTAAGGAAGTGTAAAGCTCTCTCTAAAATGAACATGTGGTACATGTTCATTTTAGAGAGAGCTTTTTGCAGCTCTTGCTCTCATTTACTCTCGCCGAGGCCGAGGCTAAGGTTTATATATATTGAATTGGTTTTTATCTCATTTTTTTTAGCACATAAATACTTTTTTGGTTTTAGTATAGTCGTGAATCAAACAACAGATGATGGCAGTGAAATGGACATGGAAATGGAATCCAATTTTGAAAACCATCAGGATACATTAAATAATCAAAAAGAAACTGTGAATCAATCAAATGAGGAAAATAATTGGTATGTTATGTGGCTAAGGTTAATTTCAATGTGAATATATTTTCTTTATTCTCAAATCTATAGGTCTAAATTAAAACAAAAAAAATTTAAAATATAAAAAATATAACATTCATTTTGTTGTTACTTTAATATATAATATAGTAAGCAGTAATTGTGCAGTAAAGGTACAACTAATTTTTAATATTTGTATGTCTGACATAAATAACATAATTAATTTTTTTTAATATTTATATGTCTATAAATAACATATTAATTTTTTTCATATTTGTATGTCTATAAATAACAAAAAATTATTTGTAAGCAGTTATAAATAGTTGAAAGCAAAGCTTACAAAAATTGTTTTTAGTATAAAAGATTTATTTTGCTTTTCATGATTATTTGGTAGTTACATATGGATTTGTAAAGCGCATATATATACAACCCTCGAAATTAGGGTCCGCATTTGGCAATGCTGACCTAACTGCCGACCTGAAAGTGTTTGAAGTCGGCAAAAAATTGCCGACCTCGTTTTTATGTTTTATGGTAAGACCTTTGTATCAAATAATTTTTGCACACCTGAAGCTGGCCTCAGGTGGCAAAATTTTTTTGATACATCTGATGCTAGCATCAGGTGTATCAATATTTTGCCGACCATCAGGTGGCTAAATATTGCCAATATACACACACACATATATATACATATACATATATATATACATATACAGATATATATATATATATATATATATATATATATATATATATATATATATATATATATATATATACATATACATATATATATCATATACATATATATATATATATATATATATATATATATATATATATATATATATATATATATATATATATATATATATATATCTGTATATGTATATATATGTATATGTATATGTATATGTATATATATATATATATATATATATATATATATATATATATATATATATATATATATATATATATATATATATATATATATATATATATATATATATATATATATATATATATATATATATATATATACAGTCACGATCAAAAGTTTGGAACATTGTATAAAAAAACACAATTCATTAAATTATTCATTTATTTTATCAAAATGTATTAGTAACCATGATAATTGACAAAAATAATAACTTTGAACTATTAGTAAAGGTTTTATGAATTTAATACTTGAATTTAATATTTGGTATGGTGTCCTTGAGCTTTCAAACAAGTAGCTAAGCGGGTAGGCATAGAATGAATGAGTTTTCTCAAATATTCAGGAGTCATAAGTTGAGTCCATACCTGCTTAATTTTTTCTTGAAGATCATTGGAACATGATGGTCGCAGTTTCTGGACTTCGTTTTTGAGTTCCAGCAGTTTTCAATGGGATCAGAAACCAGAACTTACAAAAAATCTGATAATTCCCAATATAATAACATTAATAACGCGGCTAAAGTAATTGCTCAAGACTTAGGTATTGATGACAGAATGGAATATCTTGCAGTGAATACCGCGTTTATAACAATAAAGGATCACAAAGATAATTTTCCCAACAATACTTAATGTCGATTAATTAATCCATCTAAACCAGAACTTGGAAAGGTTAGTAAAAGTTTACTAGAAAAAATCAACACTAAAAGGAAAAAAGCCACCCTTGTAAATCAATGGCATAATACGGATGACATAATAAATTGGTTTCGCAAAATTAAAGACAAACACAACTGTTCCTTCATCCAATTTGATATCGAAGAGTTTTATCCTTTTATCTCTGAATAATTACTTCAAATTTCACTTTTCCACGCTAAATAATTTACAGAAATTTCTGCAAATACAAAAGATATCATTAATCACTCAAGAAAATCATTACTGTTTATTGAACATGATAGTGTCTGGGTCAAAAAACTTGGTGATCCTATTTTTGATGTAACTATGGGAAGTTTTGATGGGGCTGAAGTATAAGAGTTAGTCTGCCTCTTTATTTTACACAACTCAAGTCAAGTCTATGGGTTGCAAACCGTTGGATTATATAGAGATGATGGCCTTTGTTATTTTCATGGAATTAATGCACCACAATCGGAGAGATTTAAGAAAAACATTGTTTATCTTTTTAAGGAGAAATTTAATTTAAAACTTACTATAAAAACCAACTTAAAAATTGTAAACTTTTTTGATGTTATCTTTAACCTGTTAGAAAATACTTTCCAGCCATACAGAAAACTAGGTGACCACCCATTATACATCA